TAGCAGTGGTGGGACTTCTTGTTCCCAGAGACTGATCAGCGGGCAGCTGGCCTGTGGTCGAGCACCGTATTATCTTACTGCCTGAGACAGGGACGTCTGCAGTGTGCCATGAGATAATGGCGCAGTTCCACTACAGCGCGGAGTGTCTCTGAGAGTCGGCTGCAGAGCTTCTCCTTAACTTCCCAGACTCAGTTTGTATTTCCTCCTCCCTGTGACCACCAACAGCTCGCTCATTTATCCTGTGAGAAAACCTCAGTGTTGTTGTGATCCGTTTGTCCCCAGACTGCTCCAATCAGATCATAATCATCCTTGTTTCTGTTTCCAAATATAAGATAAGATCAGATTCACTTTATTGATCCCAAATTGGGATTTTTCTGTCGTCACAGCAGCAGAAAAAAAGAGTAGAAAATAAACAAACAAAATAGAAACATCTCAAAAAATAAAATAAAACAGAAATAATAAGTAAAATGTTGACAGTGAAAGATACAAATCTGTAGACTATATGTCAAATAAACACTATCAAGGGCCAAATTACAGCTAATAACATTCAAAAGTATATTATTAATATTAATTGGTCAAGGATTTTAGTCTCTATTGCAGGGGTGTCAAACTCAATTTCATCACGGGCCACATCAGCATTATGGTTGCACTCAAAGGGCCGGTTGTAACTTTAAGACTATATCATTAATTAATATAACTTCATAATTAACTACGTCTGAAAGCAGAAGTCTAGGGCAAATAATTGCAAGTCTCTTCAGTAAGAATGTCACAATATGATTTTAAAAGAAAAGCCACATTCTGGAAAAACATTGATTGTGACATTTTGAAAAAAAAATCTATTTAAAGGCTAATTCTAAGAAAAAAGGCATATTTGGACAAAAAAAGTCAAATTCTGAGAAAAAGTCAAATTTGAGATGCATTGTGGGACATGTTGTTTATGGGCAACGTGCTTCTGTAAAGTAGCATGTAACCGTATAATAAACATATTATATTCTTTGCAAGCTCTTGTGGGGCCACATAAAATGAAGTCGCGGGCCGGATTTGGCCCCCGGGCCTTGAGTTTGACACCCCTGCTCTATTGTGTTTTATCTTCACTCATAAAGCATTTTCTGACTTCATTCTCACACAGAATAAATCCCTGAGAGGATGTTATCTTTGCAATCGCAGCAAAACTACTAGAGTTTGTGAAGCTGTTGATTTCCTTTAGCAGCATGTTTCTCTGTTATCTTAAGTCTGTCAACTCTGTGGCATTTAGAAGTGTATCTAGTGTTCGAGTAGCAAAGCAATGTGTTGTGAGAACAAGCCGACCATGAGTTGAAAGTATGACAGCATCCATTTCACTTTGAATCATTTCATCAACAATCCTCTCATTGAAGGGAAAGACAGTAATTAAGTTAAATCTCTGCCGGCGCTTTGCTAAATATTTGTTTGATATTTACTTCTAAGAGAGTTTTTATTTAGATAATTAGTTCTATAATGAGTTATCAAGTGTCTGAAATGATTTATGCCGTTAAATGAGGCCTAAATCATCAATATTTTAATACAGTTTTTCAGAGATTTAAAAGATCATTATTCCCATTGACAGCTTCCCTTTCACCTGCTTTCCATGCAGAGTGTTGTCCGTCTGAAGGAGATGTTTTAGACGTCTGAAGACACTCTGATTACATTTCACATCATTGAGTGAAATGAGGAATAGCCAGAAGAAGAAAGACAGGAGTGCAAAAAAGATAAGTGCATGTATGGACTCTTGAACTTGACATTTGATGTCCTTGGGCTTGAAACAAAATGTCCACAAATGGGGAAAGTGGAAGAGAAATGGATGCAGAGATACTTCAGTGAGATTTACGATTGTTTTACCTTGAGTGCCTTTCTCCTGCTCTCTAACACTTTTATTTCTCATCTTTCCTCATCTCTAAAACATTTATTTTCCTCTCGTCTACAAATCCCACTTAGTCGCCTCAGCCTTAATAATGTCTCCTGCCTCTCCCATGCTGAAAACATTAAACAACATTTCGTTAAATCTTCACCACTCTTTCCTGCCATCAGTTAACTTGTCCATTAATATGCATGCTATTATGGGCTAATTATTCACAGGCATTGTGACCCAAACCATTAATATTCATTCATTGTTCCCGTTTTTATAAATATTCACAATTTTTTAAGTCAAAGTAGAAGTACCAGAATGTAGAAATACTCTGTTACTTCTACTTTTACTTAAGTACAAGATCTGAGAACTTCTGTTAGCAAACCGTGTATTCCATGTTGCCAACACACGCATTTTTTTAGTTTAAATAAATGGTATGAATAGCAAGAATGTCGTGGTAGTAATCGGAGAGCACGTGCATTTGACTAAAAAGTACACAGTATCAATCCATGGAGATATTGAGGGGCAATAGTCCCCACATATACATTTCATGTCATTGTTATCACATCATTCCAGGATTGAGAATGCTGTCCTAAAGCCTCATATTGAGAGAACAAAATCTACCTGATGTTGAAAATTAAATTCCATCCATCACTTTCACAACCACCTCAACATATTGTGTTTGTGTATCAGCAATATTTCGCCTTGGCTGTGTTTCTGTGAGATTTCTGTCATTAAGAATAAACCACTGACTTAAAGTGACTGACCGTTTTTAATCTGGGGAAAACACGTTCACTCACCTCAACATTTTCTTTACACATGCTATATATATCCTGCAGAGGTGGGAATGCTTTTTTTAAAACCCTCATTTCAACAGGGCCAAATCTGCCCAGTGGGAAAATTAAACCACAGCTGTCAGCTCGGTGTGAACACAAACCAGCAGGAAAAAGCTATCTCTGTTTTAAATGGATCCATTTGCAAAATACATTATTCATGTTTCCCCCGGTAAGCACTAATATATATTTTTGTACCTGCTGCTATGTTTAATTCATTACTCCGAGACATTTCTCTTGCCTCCAAGCTGGGCGAATCGATTGTGAAATGTTGTGTTGTGTTATATTTCTCAGAAGTTGTTGTGTCCACTCAGACTGCATGCCTAAATATTGGATTGTTCTTTCTTAGTAAGATCCCATTTTCATTACAAATGTGGTCTTACCTTGACTTGAAGATGAAGTCCATGCTATCCTTCTGGACAACAATCTCTATTACTTTTTTGTAAAAGTCCTCCTTATCTTCCTGTAGTTTCAAAAGTCTAGTTTGTTGTTACGTCTACCGTCTCTGCGTAGAATTACAGTAGCAACAAGAACCTGTGGGCTCACGTGCGCCCCCTTCAGTGCGGCAGAGGTTATGGCTGCCTCCCCTGGTGCATTTTCATTGCCGTTGAGACCAGCGAGCCTAAATATCATATATACGTGAAATAAGTTATTTAGAGACTATGGATGGCGAGGATAAAAGTAATAAAGGGATCTACATACATTACATTGGTGACCTACAGTGAGATGGTGACAGGCATGCGCTTAGGGCCCGCTTTCCAGCCAGTTTCTGTGGGGTGACGCATTCTGAATTGAGGCAGAGCTCATCTGTGCCTCACCTCAGCCCACAGTTATACCCCTTTCACACCGGCGCTTTTCCAGCTCCTGCTGGGAGCCTGAGCCTGAAAAGCGCCGGTTTTTCCTGTTCACACCGCAGCGGCGGCGCGTCATAGCTCCGGAATGCGGTTCACTTCCAGCTCCAAAAAATTGTCGGTCCAGAGGCAAGAGCTTCGGAGCTATGACGCGGCGTCGCTTACGTCTCTTACGTCGAGGCGTGCAGGAAACCTTACTTTGACCATCCGTTCGCTGTTATTGATCATTGTGGAGATACATGGGCTATACAGGTTGTCATGTCCGACTATCACAAGTAGAATCATAATGAAAAATACGCCGGTAAAATGTGCCTATAGAAAACGGCTTAGCAAGTAGTCAGTTTAGCTTCGGTTGCTATGCTAACATCACCCATGTTATACCAGAGAAACTTTCATAACAGCGTTGTGATGCCAAACAGCGTCAATTCAGACTGACACACATTCACTTAAGGGGAACTGGGGATATGTATCAGCTGCTTGTGTGACAGTCAGACAGTGAATACTTTAGAGCCGTGTGAGCTAACCCGGAGCTAACGGGACAATAAACTCCCGTGGAAGTGCAGCCACTGCAGCGGTCGGTAAATGCCGCTGAAACACATTAATAAACAATGAACCACGGCACTCTGGAGAAAAGTATAAGGTTGGAGAAGTCGTTATTTAATTTAATCTGGCTTCGTATGATTAAAAGCAACACGACCCGATGCAGTCCCCGGCCCGTTGTTGTTGTGGGAGAAAATCAGCGACGTAAACTGTGACGTCATGACGCAGCAGCGGCAGCTCTGGGCAGTGTGAACAGAGCGGGAGCTGAAAAGGGAAACGGGAGCTGAACCAGAAAAGCTCTCGCGAGGAGCTAGAAAGTGAAAAGCGCCGGTGTGAAAGCCGCATAATGGCTTGAGCGCGCTCACAAAATAAGTGCCCGCGCTACATTAGTGCCCGCGCTCCAGCAAGTTACTGTGGGCTTACGAGAGGCAGAGCACGTCCCTGCCTCACTTGTCATCGCTCCCGTAGCGGAGCTCGGCAAATTTGCTGATTTTGACTATAAAAAGGGATTAGAATCATACATAAATCACACTTACAACACAGATCAGTGGAGACATTTTATTATTATTACTATTTCGTTTTTCTTTAGTTGTTTTTCCGTTACATTGGAGTATGACAGGTGAGGCTTTGCCTCCCCTGCCTCCACTGACTGCACGTCGCTGGTGTAATGGATACTGCCCTGAGTGACAGACTTTTTTCCCTTCATAAAAAAAAGGCGTATTCGTCGTGTGACTGCATGCGCCGAACCGTGACGGTTCGGGACGAATACGGATACCGTTACACCCCTACTCTCTTTATAACATGTAAAATCACATTACAACGTACCCCAGTCCATCTGCCTACCATTTAGCAAGTAGGATAGCTGCCAGAAGTTATCGTTTGGCTCAGGGGAGGGGACGTGGATCAGTGAAACTTCCTGCAGGCTCCTGGGGACTCAGAGGAGCTTCCCAGCAGCTTCTACTGAAGCCAGTCCCCAACTATGGCCGGGGAATTTGGGTGGCAGGATACGCCATGAAGTTGTTTGCGGCCTGCCAGTAAACCCAAAGCAGAAGAATAAGAAGAAGTGACGTCAGCGGGTTCATTTGCGTAATCTTCCCTCAGGAACTTATTCTGGTGTGAACGCGATCTGCTCTTTAGTTCCATGAACTAACTTTGCTTATCAGGTGACTTTCCTCCATACTTTTAGAATGTCTGAAATGAAATGGAATGTAGAATACTTTGAAATTGAATGTAGAATACTTTGAAATGGAATGTAGAATGTGTCGGTATAGACCAAAGCACATTCCGGAATGTTCTCTGGTTAAATAGCTACACAACTTATTTGCAGTTTGTGCAGGACGATAACAAGCCAGGTTTTATCCCAGCCACATCGAGTTCACATTATCAGTAAGAAGCAGCTATTTCTTCACGATGAATAAGATGGACAGAGTAAGATCAGTTTTCAACAAGACGTTCAACAAGTCTCGATGGCTCCGAAAGAATTGTCCATCTGAGGACAGTTCTGTTGAGGAGGAGATCAAGGAGGAAATTGAGGAGGAAATCCTGGAGGAAACCATGGCGGAGGTGCAGGAAACCATGGAGGAGGTGCAGAAAACCATGGAGGAGGGGCAGGAGTTTACAAACAAGGTGGAGGAGGAAGTTGAGGAGGTTCAAGAGGATATTAAGGAGCAGACCTCCATCTCCAGCAACAGAGAAAACTACAGCGACACTTCCTTTGCTGAGGTAAGAATTCAATTCAGTGGCACACATGTCTACAATTACACTAATGAAGACTGTAAAAAAGCTAATACTCAACGCTTTAGTTTCTTTACTAAAGTTTTTCAAAAAAATCAATCAAAATAGTAAATCATCTTTAATGCAATTGATCACAGCATACTTGTTCACACCCATTGATGCAGAGTTAACTCCACTTCTGTTTTCTTAATAAAAAACACTGCACATAGACGACACAATAATAATTGTTTTATGTTTCACAGACAGAGGACTCTGAAAGATCTGAGAGATATGACAAATCATCTGGCCTTCAGGAAGCCCTGGATGAGGAGAGAAAAGCCAAAGCAGAGGAGCAAACAAAAAGCAGCTCACTGCAGATGAACAACGAGGCTGCTGTCTCTCAGCAGAAGAAGGAAGCAGAAGAACTGGCCCGTCTGACTCAGGGGAACCAACACCTCGCCTATGAGAACAAAAGACTGCAAAGTGAACTGGAGGCTGCTGTCAATAAACAGTACATTGAAGAGAAGAAGCTTCAGGCCGACAGAAGAGCTTACAGCAGACTGGAGGAGAACCTTAAGAAGGAGGAGGCTCGTTTCTCCAGAGCCTCACAGAAGATCCAGAGCCAAAAGAAAGAGCTGTCTGAGAAGACCCTGGCTTCTGAGGGACTGCAGAGGGACTACGAGGCTGCTGTCTCTCAGCAGAAGAAGGAAGCAGAAGAACTGGCCCGTCTGACTCAGGGGAACCAACACCTCGCCTATGAGAACAAAAGACTGCAAAGTGAACTGGAGGCTGCTGTCAATAAACAGTACATTGAAGAGAAGAAGCTTCAGGCCGACAGAAGAGCTTACAGCAGACTGGAGGAGAACCTTCAGAAGGAGGAGGCTCGTTTCTCCAGAGCCTCACAGAAGATGCAGAGCCAAAAGAAAGAGCTGTCTGAGAAGACCCTGGCTTCTGAGGGACTGCAGAGGGACTACGAGGCTGCTGTCTCTCAGCAGAAGAAGGAAGCAGAAGAACTGGCCCGTCTGACTCAGGGGAACCATCACCTCGCCTATGAGAACAAAAGACTGCAAAGTGAACTGGAGGCTGCTGTCAATAAACAGTACATTGAAGAGAAGAAGCTTCAGGCCGACAGAAGAGCTTACAGCAGACTGGAGGAGAACCTTCAGAAGGAGAAGGCTCGTTTCTCCAGAGCCTCACAGAAGATGCAGAGCCAAAAGAAAGAGCTGTCTGAGAAGACCCTGGCTTCTGAGGGACTGCAGAGGGACTACGAGGCTGCTGTCTCTCAGCAGAAGAAGGAAGCAGAAGAACTGGCCCGTCTGACTCAGGGGAACCAACACCTCGCCTATGAGAACAAAAGACTGCAAAGTGAACTGGAGGCTGCTGTCTCTCAGCAGAAGAAGGAAGCAGAAGAACTGGCCCGTCTGACTCAGGGGAACCAACACCTCGCCTATGAGAACAAAAGACTGCAAAGTGAACTGGAGGCTGCTGTCTCTCAGCAGAAGAAGGAAGCAGAAGAACTGGCCCGTCTGACTCAGGGGAACCAACACCTCGCCTATGAGAACAAAAGACTGCAAAGTGAACTGGAGGCTGCTGTCTCTCAGCAGAAGAAGGAAGCAGAAGAACTGGCCCGTCTGACTCAGGGGAACCAACACCTCGCCTATGAGAACAAAAGACTGCAAAGTGAACTGGAGGCTGCTGTCAATAAACAGTACATTGAAGAGAAGAAGCTTCAGGCCGACAGAAGAGCTTACAGCAGACTGGAGGAGAACCTTAAGAAGGAGAAGGCTCGTTTCTCCAGAGCCTCACAGAAGATGCAGAGCCAAAAGAAAGAGCTGTCTGAGAAGACCCTGGCTTCTGAGGGACTGCAGAGGGACTACGAGGCTGCTGTCTCTCAGCAGAAGAAGGAAGCAGAAGAACTGGCCCGTCTGACTCAGGGGAACCAACACCTCGCCTATGAGAACAAAAGACTGCAAAGTGAACTGGAGGCTGCTGTCAATAAACAGTACATTGAAGAGAAGAAGCTTCAGGCCGACAGAAGAGCTTACAGCAGACTGGAGGAGAACCTTCAGAAGGAGGAGGCTCGTTTCTCCAGAGCCTCACAGAAGATGCAGAGCCAAAAGAAAGAGCTGTCTGAGAAGACCCTGGCTTCTGGGGGACTGCAGAGGGACTACGAGGCTGCTGTCTCTCAGCAGAAGAAGGAAGCAGAAGAACTGGCCCGTCTGACTCAGGGGAACCAACACCTCACCTATGAGAACAAAAGCAATCTGCACTCGTCAAGAATCATGTCTTTCTTTATTGAGATAGATATGGTAAAGGCATAGCAGAGAGGGTCCTGACTGGATTTTTGTCTGGCACATCTTTGTCATCTGTCACTTTCACCAGCCATTCCGCATTTCTAAATTATAACTTGCCTGTTGTTAAATAAACTTAACTTGCCTGTTGTTAAATAAACCTCATTATTACCTGTTGTAAAGATAGCACATAGGCTCTCATTGTTGATAATGATATTGACTCCACTTACCCAGACACTTTTCCACAGAGTTATTCATGGCCTCAAAGGGAATCCTCTGTTTCTCTGCAACGATTACAATTCTTCCTGCATACTGATATCCATTGAGCCCTCCTTACGCAACGCCAATATCAGTACAGCTGGCACCTGAGCTTGAAAGGAAATCCCATGATGGCATTTATGTATTGGCTGAATTGATTAACCAAAGCTACAAACCAACAAAGGCTTTGGCAGCTCCATTTCATCTTGGGAGTCAAAGGTCTGCGGCAAAGGAGAAGCCACAGTAACTGGGTTAAAATCAGCTAGGAGCAAAGATCTCAACATGTGTTTATCTTAATTCTAACTATCGAAAGCAATAGTGATTTATTTACATAACATTAACATAACCACTGTGTTTATCCATGTGCAAATATAGCGCATTAAGCTATTTGAAACATTGCCATGGAAACCTTCATTCAGAAGTGTCCATTATTAGCCGCGTTCACACCAAGTACTTTCCTGTACTTAGTTCCGGCACTAAGAGCTCTGGCGCTTTTAACCCCAGGGCACTTATGGCGCGTTTCCACTACAGCCCGCAGCCCGGTTTAAGAGGGCTGTGACGTCAGCGGCCCGTCTTTGGTTGCGTTTCCACTTGGTACCGGCCGGCGGGTCCTAATTCACAGTTTTTCTGGCCTCATAAAATCGTGGGGCCAGGGCCAGAGACAACGAGGCTGAGTCGGGCTGAGTATGCTAAACTAGAGAGAGCGTCGCTGGCAAGGGGGCAACAACTACAACAAGATGGACATATTTGACCGTGATTTAATTGTAATACACGTTTCAAAATGATGCCGAAGTAACAACATACTGATGCCGGTTAGTAAAAACCATGAATTAATGCTTTGTCAAGTCTGCAGACAGACGGCAGGGGAAAAACCTTTTAAAATGCTTGTTTTCTAAATGGAGATTGGCTAAGCTAACGCAGTATATGCGCCGACCGTCCACACTCACAACAACGGCCTATACAGACATAAATAAAGCAGCGACTGTATTCACCATGACACAGGCAGTCTGTGGTTTGTACTTGTTTAACTTGTGTCTAGTTTCTGAACATATATGAGGAGCTGTGAGCTCTGAGTGCTAACAGCTAACGGCTGTGTTGTTTTTCTGGGGTCCTCTCAAGATCACGTCACGGCTCCGCCTACACTGCGTTACTATAGATACTGCCCCAGTTCCTAAACTGTAATGGAAATGCGCCATAAAGTGAGCCAGTCCTAACGAGGCCCAGCCATACCGAGCGGGGCCGAGCCAGGCCGTGTAGTGGAAACGCGCCATTAGTACAGATCGCGTTCACACCGGAGTACTTTTCCCTGAGGGAAGATTACAAGTACAGTAGGTGGCGGTAAGCACCTTAAAGTTGTTTGCAATCCGCTACAAAACAAGAGAAGAAGAAGAAGAAAAACTGATACAGGATCTGTTTAATCGCCATGTCGGTTTTCTTTATTGCACTCTCAAGACATAACATTAAATAGAAATATTTTAAATGTAACTAAAGTGTCAGTTGTACATGTCAGTAAACATTGTCAATATAAAATAAAGTGTCAGTTGTACTATATAATAACAGTAATAACAATATAAAATAAACTCCCAGGTGTAGGGAGTCTCAGCAGCAAACCCACCTTTATTATATATCTTCCTGAGACCCACTGCATCTGTCTGCCATAAACACTATGCAAACATACATGTTAGTTTTGGGCCATAGTGGACTCCATGTTGTGTTGTGTGAAATGGGGGGGAATTAAAAGTTTAGGTCAAATAATATTTAAAATGATATAAATTGTCATATTTGTGTATGTGCCGCTGCCATTCCCCCACAAGGTTGCAACATTGATAAATAAATGACAAATAAAGCTTTGCCAGTTTATAACCGATGAAACATGATGGTATCAGAATAATCACTTACATGTGATGTATAGGATGCTACACAGGTCACTAAAGATAAAGTGTCAGGAGAAATAAGCTTAATCGCCATGTCGGTTTTCTTTATTGCACTCTCAAGACATAACATTAAATAGAACAATTTTAAATGTAAATAAAGTGTCAGTTGTACATGTCAGTAAACATTATATATAAAATAAAGTCATAACAGTAATAACAATATAAAATAAACTGTCCCAGGTGTAGGGATATTCTCAGCAGCATACACACCTTAGTGCAACGTTGTGTGTCGTGTGTCAGTATTTACATTTACAAAAACTATACCAAATAAACTGTTATTAAATGCAGTTTGTCGCTCATCCTGCCGCTGCGCCGACGCTTCCTCATGGCGCAGCGCCCACACTTCATCCTGGTGCTGCTGGCGCTCCATCTGCTGCTTGAACACTTCTGCCTGGCGCTCCATCGAGGTGAGCATCTTGTCCTCCGTTTCCTGGGCCTTGGTGAACAGCACCATCTGATCTCCACGCAGCGACTCATTCACCACGGCACGCCGGTCCTCCAACGCCTGGGCGGTGTCAAAGAAATTCGCATCCTGTGTCCACTTTCCTAAGAGGGGAAAATAAGCAAGATACAAGATCTGTTTAGTCGCCATGTAGTTTTACAACATACTAGGAATGTTTTTTTGTATTTTCACAAATAGAATTAAGGTTTCACAAATCTGAAACTGTGTTATAAAGAATGTTTGGCCTCTCTGGGATAATCCAGTCCAAATAAATCGGCTATGCAGCGATTTAAGAGGTTCAAACACGGAGGATTGTTCCTTTTTGAAGAGTGCTTCATGTATGCTTGAACTTTGTTTAATGTTGTTGAGGCAAGTTAAACATAAAATATGATGAATATTATGAAATAAACATGATTGTGAACATCAGTTCGATGCGTAACGTTCTTTCAAGA